CGGTGACCAGAGAATCCATGCCCAAACCATAATAACCTTCGTGTTCCAAGAGCATACGGTAACCAGAGCATCCATGCCCAAACCATAATAACGTTCGTGTTCCAAGAGCATACGGTGACCAGAGAATCCATGCCCAAACCATAATTCCGTTCGTGTTCCAAGAGCATATGGTGACCAAAGAATCCATTCCCAAACCATAATTCCGTTCGTGTTCCAAGAGCATACGGCGACCAGAGCATCCATGCCCAAACCATAAGTCCGTTCGTGTTCCAAGAGCATACGGTGACCAGAGCATCCATGCCCAAACCATAATTCCGTTCGTGTTCCAAGAGCAGCATCCATGACTAAACCATACGGATTTCACGATTACCCATTCCTCCCTTCTGTTGCACTCTCCTGTTGCACGGGCGGCTTGTTTCTTGAATGTTTTCGTTGTCTGGACAAGCTTGGCGTGCCAGACTGCAAAAACTTTGCCTGCCGATTTGGCTGTTTTAGGCTCTGGGGTTCAAGAGCTATTGCTGCTTTGTGTCTAAGGCATGGGAAGCTATTGGGTTCTTTGGGTTTGGGTGCTTTGCCTGCTTTGCTGTAGATATGGGTTGATATGTTTCAAAGGCATCTGGTGGTTTCGTTGGTTTTTTTGCTATGATTGTTATGCTTGGTGTCTTATTTTGCAATTGGGGTCATGGATGCCACGATGGGGCGTGACATCTTTTCTGCGCCGCTGACGACTGAGGAGCACTGTCGGACGAAATCCCGAAATACTTCTTGCTAGACTGGCTTTGTCCAACCCAGGGTTTTTGTGGCGCTTGAGTTGAGAGGTTTCTTCTGTGTGGCGCACTGCGTCAGGAGCTGGCAGATCCACACCTCCTTCTGTTACGGCTCTATCTGCTGAAGTATGTTCAGGGGACACTACGTCTTCCGAGGGAAGCTCGGCTCTGCGTGTGTTGGCTAAATCTGAAAGTAGTGCCGTGTAATATTTGGGTTATTTATTCCGATGCAGACAGATTTTTGTGTGATTTGCACGCGCAGACGAGGATCGAAAAAAATAGAGCGGTGTGGTTACACCCCGCTGTCGGCGCGCGACAGGAAGCGTTTTCTTCCCACCGTTGTGGAGCCCGTCAGTCCGATATCCTATTTTGATTCTCCGGACTCACGCCGCTACAAACGGTGGCGAATGGGAGTATATGGGGAGCATCTTGACTTGTCTGTCACGTTTTCCTTTCTCTTGCTGGTTCGTACGCTTCGGCCTCACCGCCCCAAGACGCATTTTTGGCTCCCCAGCATGTAAGGCTTTTCCCAAAAGAGAAGGATCCGTTGGATGCGCCAGACCAGTCGCCTGTTTCTGTGGACTTCGGCCAAGCTGAAACCGAGCTGCAGGAGCCCACGGACGCACAGATGTTGGCGGCTGCTTTGGCTTGGGAGGCTTTCGAGTGTTAAAGAAATACATTATCAAGAAGGGGTTTTCTTGCTGGTGCTTGGTTCGTAGTGGCGCTTGGTTGCTATCTAAGGTTAGGAGGGTTCTATTTCGGCTAGTGTTGTTCCTTGCTTGCAGGAATCAGCGGCTCGAGCTTGCAAGCATGAGACAGATGCCGGCGTGGGCAGTACCTTGCCGACTGCATCCAGCACTGCTTCATCTTGGCGCGACAGTTCTTCCGAGTCCCTTGGGGAGACTTTGTCTCAGTTGGTTCTTCGTCATGGCGATATCTTTTCCGTGCCCACCCAGGTAGAGATGTCAGTTTGGAAAGTAGCTTTCGATAAGTGAAACTGCTGTAGGGCTTAGGGTTTGGGATTTAGGGCTTTGGCCGGACATCCCATGGTGACCCCTGCAGGAGTTGGAGGCATGCCCGGAAATCCAGGAGATGCAGCGCGACTCCCTCATACCCCAGGCAGCAGACGCAGAGGCACACTAAGTGGCATAGGGTTGCCGTTGCCGAAAAGTTTTTTCCGCTTCACAGCCCCCAAGCCCGAGCTTGCCTCGTTTCAGGAGGGATCTGTGCCTCCTGCACATGACTTTCATGTGCTGGCTCGGGCGGTTCCTGAGCGTGCCACACGGCATGGCCGGTCTCCGACTCACTCCAAGCCGTTGCGACCAGTGGTGCACTACAGTGGCAAGCTCATGGGGCTGCCACTTCTGCGGTGCGGGTTGTGGTGGGAAAGAATTGAAGGGGGAGCCAGAAGATGCTGGCACTATCGCCAGTACTCTGGGGATTTGAAGCGGCTGCCTACCCAGGTCCAGAAGGATGTGGAGTACTTTAAGAAAGATGTGCGATTTCATCTTTCTGCCAGTAGCCGTAAGGCGCACGGCTCTGCTTCCACTTCTCGGTGAGCAAAAAGAGTTGCTCTGCTGGCTCAGTTGCAGATGCCTTAGTACAGTTTCCCAGTGCCACTTTTCCAGACATGCTTGCATGCTTCTGCCCCTGGTGTCCGCATTTCCTTTTGCAATAGCATGCTCATACACGAGGCCACGTGCTGGCTCCGCAGGGGATAGTGTAGGAAGGCACTTTCGGAGCATCCTACTACGTCGGCCGGACGTTCCTAAGAGATGCTCCACCGCTGCGTGCCTGTAGACCAACTATTATGTAGCATGGGACAAGTATAGTTTGGGAGGGTCCCTTTACATGCCCCGAAAAAGTCCCTTTTGAATGTGTCCGTTTGGCCGAGGCTCCTGTATACCAAATGTTATGTATTACGGGACATTTATAACAAGTGGGAGGGCCTCTTCAAGACCCGGCTCCCTGTACACCAACTCTTCTGTAGCATGGGACAAGTATAGTTTGGGATGGGAGAGTCCCTTTAAATGCCCCGAAAAGATCCCTTGTCAATGTGTAAGCTTGGCCGAGGCTCCTGTATCCCGTATACCAACGATGGGACAAGTAGACAACTTGGGTGGGTCCCTTTAAAAGCCTGAAGGCTCCACTTAAAAGAAAATAACAACCCGAAACACCCTAACCCTAAACCCTGAAAAAAAACCGTCCAAAACGAAGTAGTTCCGCGGGCCATTTTTAGACCCTTAAAATGACGAGTGCCACGCCTGCCAGTGTTTTTGAGGCCGCTCACACGCGATAACCCACGGCAAAATAAAGCGCCATGACCTAGTAGGAGTAGTTGTAGTAGTAGTAGTA